ACTATCACATTCTGTTGACCAACCATATGGAAGGAGCGAGGACTGGCAGACAGGTCCCTGAAAGTCTCTGATTTCAGGATTTTCGTATAAAAAGAGCCTTAGAGGTCAACGGAGTCAACATTAGTTCCACACTCTGGCCCAGACTTGGGGCCTCAGATCCTGCAGGGACCTTGAAGTTATCACCAGTCCTTAGCCTGAACCAAGTCTTTGTCAAAAGGACCAAAATGAAAGTCCTTTATTCAAGTGTAAGTTGATACTATTCAGATAATTTTAAAAATGAATTCCTTTAAAGGCTGACTGAACGCCAAAGGGGCTTGGTTCATTGAGTATTTGCTCAATCAATGAATACTGTATTACTTGTCTATTACTGTGTAGCAAATTATCCCAAAACTTAGTAGCTTAAAACAACAATAAATATTTACTATTTCTCACAGTTTTCATGGGTCTGGAATTCAGGAGTAGGTTGGCCAGCAGCTCTGGCTTAGGGTCTCCTGTGACGTTACGGTCATATGTTGGTGGAAACTGCAGTCATCTGAAGGCCTGACTGGGGCTGGAAGATCTGCTTCCAAGATGGCACACTTGCGTGGTTGGCATGTTGCCACCTGCTGCTGGTGGGAGGCCTCGGTTCCTTTTTATGTGGCGCGCTCCATAGGATGGCTCGTAACAGGGCACCCAGCTCCCTGAGAGCTGTGATCCAATACAGCAAAGCAGAGGCCACCTGCCATTGATGACTTAGCCTCAGAAGCCATACACTGTCACCTCTGCCATACTTTGCTAGTCACAAAGATCACCCTGATTTGATGTGGGAGGGAATTAACAAGGGCCTGAACTCCAGCTGCTGAGCATCATCTTGGGGGCTGGCTCCCGCAGATACTAAAATCAAAAGAGCATTTTGTAGAGTTTACGAAGGGAGCCTCAAGGTTCAGAAAACAGTGTTAACAATCAGAACCATCTTGACCTTTGGGGGAAGTAGGGACTGGGAAGGGCCATAAGGAGACTTCTTAGGAGTCAGTAATGTTTTCTTTCTTGGTCAAGACGCTGAGGAACTTTGTGAAAAATCACTGTTATGTATGTTTATGATGCTTCAGTAAAGAAATTTTAAAGAAGGGCCCTCATCCTTGAAAAGGTTTGGAGCCATCTGTATAGTTTTTGTTGTTGTTGTTTGTGAGACAGAGTCTAGCTCTGTCGCCCAGGCTGGAGTGCAATGGCATGATCTCGGCTCACTGCAACCTCCACCTCCTGGGTTCAAGCGATTCTCCCGCCTCAGCCTCCCAAGTAGCTGGGATTACAGGCACCTGCCATCATGCCTGGCTAATTTTTGTATTTTTGTAGAGACGGAGTTTCACTGTGTTGGCCAGGCTGGTCTTGAACTCCTGACCTCGGGTGATCTGCCCACCTCCCAAAGCTCTGGGATTACAGGCTTTTACAGGATTGCCCGGCCAGTTCTCATCTATAGGGGAGAAAACACCGGGACTCAGGGAGGGAAGGTGACTTGCTCAAGGTCCCTTGGTGGGTCAGGGGTAGAGTTTTGGACTGGCATTTGGGACTCCTGGGTCCCAAGGAATGGCCCTTGACAGGCACTGTGGGAATGGGAGCTGATGCCATCAACGGGCTGGGGCTGGGGCTGGGGCTGGGACTCCATTTCCTGCACTCTGCTTGCCCCCACTCTCCCCAGCTCCCCCCGGGGCTGCTCCAGCACTGAGACCATGCCGGCTGTGCCAGGTCAGCCACTGTGGGTCCCGCTCGCCCCACCGCTCCCAGCTCACCCTCCCTGGGGCCGATCGGGGCACTCTCTGCCCACAGACAGAAGGTCTGAGGGTCAGAAAAAGGCTGAGTCTTGGGAGAGGGCTGTGTCCTGAGCTGGTAAGGGGACAAGGATCGGAGGAATTTTGCTGTGTTAGAACATGACTCTCACTCAGATGACAATGTCTGTCTCCCTTGGCCAGACTCAGGCCTTTCAAGGCAGGGACCTGGCCTGATTCAGCTCTGTGTTTCTTGTGTCCATCAGTTCACTTAGCAAATATTTACTGAGCACCTATGATAGGCACTGGTGATATGACAACGAACAGAAAAGACAAAGGCCCTGCCCTTAGGGAACGAATGCTCTAGTAGAGGTAGACACAATAAAACAGGTAACATACAGAATATGATGTGCATAGGAGTGTGTGTGTGTGGAGTTGTGTCAGGGAAGACTTTATTAAGAAAATGACATTTGAGCAAAGACTTGAAGGAGACCGGGGGGAGCCTAAGGTTGTCAGCAAGAAGAGTATTCCAGGCAGAGGGAACAGAGTGTTCAAAGGCTTGGACGAGAGAGCACGCGTGGCATGTTAGGAATAGCAAAGGGGCCAGTGAGGCCAGGCAGGCTGAGCAAGAAGGAAGTTCAAGCTCGGGGGCCCATCTGGCCTTGGTTTGAACCCCGGTCCTGCTATTCCCTAACCAGTGACCTGAGGGCTCTCTGTTGCAAAGGAAGGATACTGTCACTCAGGCTGGAGTGCAGTGGTGCAATCTTAGCTCACTGCAGCCTCCGCTTTCCAAGCTCTAGCCACCCTCCCACCTCGGCATCCTGAGGAGCTGGGACCACAGGCAATCACCACCATGCCTGGCTACTTGTATTTTTGGTAGAGACGGGATTTTGCCATGTTGCCTAGGCTGGTCTTGAACTCCTGAGCTCAAGTGATCACCTGCCTTGGCGTCCCAAAGAGCTGGCATTACAGGTGTGAGCCACTGCACCTGGCCCCTTTTCAGGTTCAAACTCAGCCATACCTTTAGTGACATGTCCACAAAGGTTGAATGAGACAGATGGTCCTTGTCTGCCCACCTTCACTGGGATATAAGCTTCATGAGGGCCAGGGATTTTGTCTGTTTTGTTCATTGCTAAATTCCCAGACCCAGAATAGTGTCCTCAACAGAGGCCTTCACACGCCTTACAATTAAACCAACAGTTACAATATACTGTGATGAAACACACATCAAAGGGGAAATGTAGAGAGCTCTTGGCAAGGGAGCCAGCCGATTGGAGAATGTCAGGGAGGGCTTCCTGGAGAAAGCTGTGGCTGTGACCTGCTAATGAGTAGGAGTTAGCCAGACAGGGATTCCAGGCAGGGGGAACAGCATGTGTGAAAGCCCAGAGGCTGGAGAGAGCAAATTATTTTGAATGTTTCAATACAGCTAGAACAGAGCATTGGGAGGGTCGAGTGGGCAGAGTGGTATGGGGTCATGAGACAAGAGGGGCTGGGGTGGGGAGACATGGCTAGAAATTAGGTAAGCAGAGTGCTGCATTCTAAGAGCAGTGAGAATATTCAGATGACAATCATGTAGGTAACACAGTACCTGGCACATAAAGTGAGATGGAAGGAGGGAGGGAGGGGGAAGGAAGGAAGGAAGGAAGGAAGGAAGGAAGGAAGGAAGGAAGGAAGGGAGGGAGGGAGGGAGGGAGGGAGGGAAAATGGAAGGAAGGAAGGAAGGAAGATTCTAGCCAACCACAGTCTAGCCCCATGCTATTTTCAGTAGCCCTGTGGCTGGAGCTCCTCTGCAACCCTGCAACTCAGCAACACTCCTGGGGTATCCAGCCTTGTGGCCCCTTCTCCAGGTCCAACAGGCCTCAAGGCCTCCTAGGACAGAGTCTGCCCTGCTCCCTCCCGCTCTCTGTGCTCTGCACCATGCAGGGTGGGGTGGGGCAGACAGCCCCAGGCTCCCCACTGTGGACACATGTTCTGGTTCAGTGGAAGGACCTTAAACGCACAGGCAAGGACACAGCAGTAAAGGATGATGTGGCCGAACCCCCCGGTTCCACGGCGAGCAGACCCCAGGTGTGTGATCGGGAGCAGTTAAATTTCATCATTACCCTTTCTCCAATGGTGTTTTTTATAGTCTTTTTTACTACTGGCACTAAAGGTTCTGGACTCATCCTGGCGGAGTGGAGGACATCAGTCGTCGGGCTGACTGCTCTGTGATATGAAAAAATGACAAGTCCTGGCTTCATCTTTCTGATAACTGTGTTCCGCGCCTCCATTCATCTCCACCAAGGGGTTTGGGCGAAGCTGGAAGACAAGAGCATCCCAGCATTTAAGAATGAAAAATTAAGTGCCCTTTTTAAGCACAGCGTGGAGCTCCCTGGCTTGGTGCTGTTCTAGAGGTGGGGGGTGATGGGGAGGGGAGGGGAGAGCAAGTCCAGCTGGGTCTCCTTCAGGTCCTAGGGTGGGGGGATGGACAGCAGGTCCCACACAGTGTCATGGGAGTGCCAGGTGTGAGCACGTATACTTGGAAGTGTGCACATGTCTTGTGCCCCCCGTTGGCCCCTTGTGCCTGAGCCTCTGTGGCTGTGGTTTTGTGTGTCTGTATCTGGTGGTGTATGTCTAATATGGGAGAGTGAAAATAGCCCTGCACTGAAAGTCAAGATGCCTGGGTTTGATTCCTAGCTCAACTTTATTTTAAATTTTTTTTTTTTTTTATAGAGCCTCCCATGTTGGCCTCGAACCTCTGGGCTCAAGCGATCCTCCTGTCTCAGCCTCCTGAGTGTCAGCTCTACTGACGTTAGCTATGTAGCCTTTTGGCAAGTCGTTTCCCTGCTCTGGGCCTCAGTTTCCTCATCTGTAAAATCAGTGAGCTGGGATCGCTTGGAGCCAAGGTCTTCAAGCAGCACCCACTCGCTGGCTGATCCCAGGCCTGTCACATGTCTATCTTCATCTCAGCTTCCCTGTCTGTCCCAGGAGACCTTTGCTCTAGATGACCTCCAAGGCCACCCAGGAAGAGACAACCCTAGAGCCGGGGAGCCAGCAAGACCCCTCTGGGCCCAGGTTCCCGGCCCAGCATCCCAGCTCTGGCCCAAAGCCAGCTTCCAGGTGTGGTTCAGACTTTTCTGTGCCTAGGAGAGCAGCTACCTGTTTCCTTTCCATGCCCCAGAAAGGGCCAGAAGCAGGAGCGGCCCCTGGGAACAGGGTGCAGAGGGCAAGAGCAGAGGGTTTGCTTCAAACCTGGCCTTTGATTCTAGTCTTTCTTACCAGTTGTATTGTGACCTTTTGAACCTCAGTTGTCTTGCCTGCAAAATGGAAACGAAGGGGATAGTTAGCACCCCCACTGGATCAAATAAGCTGCACCTCATACAGTGCTCAATAAATGTTGGTTAGTATCAGGTATCCCTGAAGGAGCAACCCTCCCTCCCAAGCTTTTTGTAATCACCAAAAGCCCTGAACAGAATTTGCCTGTCTGCCACCCCCTAATCCCATCTCCAATGCCTTCCTCTCCCTCCCTTGGAAATCCATCAGGGGGGACAAATGGCCGTCTGGCTTTTGATGAGAGAGGGAGTGGGGGCTAGCTGGGAGACCCTGGCTGCCAGAGGACTGACTTGTCCCTGAAGGGGCCAAACATTTGTTGTAAATAATAGCAAGAGGAAGAAAAACAAAAACAAAAAAACCTGCAAAAAGCTCCCACCTGGGTCCCAGCAGATGCAGCCCGGTACACAATCCCTTTATCACCAGCGCCTGTGCTTTGGAGAACAAGATGCCACGCCGATAGGGCCTTGGTTATCTGAGGCAGGCAGTGTTTATCTGGGCAGTTTCCGCAGGCCAGGGTTCCCACTGGTGTGCGTGTTATCTGGGCCAGAGGGGGAACGGTGGGAGATTTGGGCCCCACTCCCCCACTCGGCAGAGTCAGTAGGAAACTGTAGGACGGGGAGGGAGGTGGGCAATGAGGGCCTCTTGTTCAGCTGGGAAGATTTGTGGTGAAGAATGGCCAAGGTCCCCGCAGGCCTCAGGCCCAGGCTTCCTTACCCTGGGGCATTTGGAGCTGGTATGAACTTGCCCAAGAGATTCGGTGTCATGCCCATGCCAGTGGGGATCAGTAATCTTATTCACCCTGTGGGCCGGGGGGAGCCATCCCATTCCACGGACAATGAGTCCTGCACAGGTCGTGTCACTTGGCTAAAGGCACCCAGCCAGTAAATGGCAGAGCCAGGATTTGAACTCTGGTCTGCCTAACTCCAAAAACACTGGCCTTCCAAAACAAATCCTATGACCTTGGCAGAGTGGATCCCAATCCCTTTCAAAGGAGTGGCACATTCTCAGAGACTGTTTGGGTCTGTTCACTCTACAATCCCACGCCAGACTGGGAGATCAGGAGTTTAATTAAGCTTTATCTTCCCCCCTATTTTATAGCTGAGGAAACAGAGGCCTGGAGAGATACGGTCCTTGGCCACAGTCAGCCAAGTTGGAACATAGCTGGGACTTTGAACCCAGTCTCCCAGCTCCCAGTCTGCCTGCAGCCCTGTCCCCCTCCACCCCCAAGCCCTGACCAGAATTCTCTTCTGTACATCCAGAAGGGCTTTCCCACTCCTCAGACTCTGAGGCAATTACAGTCCGTATCACTCATGTGGCCCTTAATCATTTACTGCCCTTGCAAACAGCCTGTGGTCAAAAGCAATAAAGTTCGAACTTGGACAGATCAGACCTCGTGTGGCTGCTGTTTGTGCACATGGCCCACCTCCTCTATTGACTAGAAGAGCTCAGCGGGCAAGAACCAGGTGGCTACATGTTTCCGTGTTCTCCCTGCACTGCTGCCATGCTGAGGGGCTTTGGTGAGTGAGTGCTTGGCACATTGGCCAGGGAGGAGCCACAGGGGAAGGGACATGGGAGGAGCTGGCTCCTCACACTCTAGAGGACCAAGGTTAAACCCAAGGCCTGGCCCAGCCCCACTGACCAACCCTGGCATCCCATATGTTGGTGACTGGCACCAAAGCCACTTGGCACCTCCTCCTCTCTCACTACCCCAACCGGTCATTTCCAGCTCCCATCAGTTCTGCATCTGAAATACTTCTTTTCGGTCAGGCCACCAGCTGTGCACCCTGGACTACTGCACCGGCCTCCTGATTGGCCTCCCTGCCTCCTGATTGGCCTCCTTGCCTCTGGTCTACTCTCCAGTTGCAATAAGAGTGATCTGAAAATGCGAACTTCAGCTTGTTCCTCCCCTACTTAAATGTTCCTGGGTGCACAGTGGCCTGAGCCTGTAATCCCAGTGCTTTGGGAGGCTGAGGCGGGTGGATCACTTGAGGCCAGGAGCTCGAGACCAGCCTGGGCAACATGGTGAAACCCCATCTCTACTTAAAATACAAAAAAATTAGCTGGGTGTGGTGGCGCATGCGTGTAATCCCAGCTACCCTGGAGGCTGAGGCACAAGACTCACTTGAACCTGGGAGGTGGGGGTTGCAGTGAGCTAAGATTGCACCACTGCACTCCAGCCTGGGTGACAGAGCAAGACTCTGTCTCAAAAAATAATAATAAAATAAATAAATGCTCCTGGGTCCTCACTGTCCTATGACCTGGTCCTAGCCCATCTCTCCAGCCTTACCGCTGCTACGCTTGGCCACTCTGAACTCTGGGTTCTTCGAAATGACCCCCACACCTTGCCCTGGGCCATGGCATATGCTGTTCTGTCATCGGGAGGAACAGTCCTCCCTGCCTGGGCTCCCCTCACTGGCCAACTCCTCCTCTTCCTGGTCTCGTTTGGCGTCACCTCCTCCAGGAAGCCTCCCCTATCCCCTACTGAGGTACATTTCCACTTGTCCAAGCCAGCTTTTGCACCAACCCATTATGGCCCTGAAAACACGGATGGGGAAGTGTCTGTGAACTTGTCCTCTGTCTCTTCCATTAAACTCCACATTTCATGCAGGCAAGGGCTGTGCTCCTGTTCACTGAGGCTGCTTCTCAGTTAGAGTTTGGGAAGGAGCAAGTGCTTGAGATCGCCTCTCTTTCCTGATTCCTTTAATCCCTCAAAGGAGCTCAAACAGAGAGTCCCTGGTGCTGGGGAACAGAGGGCATGGAGCCCACCCCTCTGCCCCTCTGTCAGATGGGGAGATCCGACACTCCCACTCTCCCAGTCTGGCATGGGACTGTAGAGTGAACAGACCCAGTCTCTGAGAATGTTATGTGCCACTCCTTTGAAAGGGACTGGGGTCCACTCTGCCAAGGTCATAGGATTTGTTTTGGAAGGCCAGTGTTTTTGGATTGTTCTGAACGATGATCTTCCCCTCCCAGTCCTGGGGCCTGTGGCTACCCTGTCCACTCCTACCACCCTCCTATGACCACAGTGCAGCCCGCTCCCCCGAGATGGAGTGGGCGACAAGGCTCCGGCTGGGTCTGCCTCTACAGAAACCCTAAAGTCATTCCACTTCCTGGTGGAGTCAGGGTGAGGAGTCCCAGAGGCCTCCTGGGGGAAACCTGGGGCCCTGGGGCCGGCTGAGTGTTCCCCAGGCCTCCCTTCTTCCCACCCCCGTCCTGGGAGCTTCATCAGCCACTTCACTGCCTTCCCTGGCCTCCCTCTCCCCTGACTGCTGGGCCCTGGCAGAGGGCGTGGGACTGTGCATCCTGGTGTGTATATCCAGCTGCTGCTCGCCACAGCTGGCTGCACTGGCCTCAGCAGAGCCAGGGAGGGCACGCTCTGCCCCCCACCATCCCAACCTCCCTCATTCCTCCACCCCCAACCCCACCCCCACACCCCAATCCACCTGCTCCATTGAATGCCCAAGATTGGAAGAGGGTCAACAGAATGTGGGGTCATTCATGGGTGGGGGCAGGACGTAGGTGTTCAGTGCCGGCCCCCGACTTACACGGTCCCTTCCTTGTTGGACACCCCGAGCCCCGGCTCTCCTGGCTGCTCCCCTCAGGACTGTGAGAGGTGGCACCGTTCTCCCTTCTGGGGCCTCGGCTTTCTCTTCCGTACAATGGAAGATAGGCTGCTTTGGGAAGGCCCTCAGCTTTCGGGGAAGAGTCTGGAAGGTACAGCAAGGATGTGTGCACTTCGCTGAGCAGCCCAGGGAGCTGTGAGAGAGGCTCCAGGTGGGGGAGGCAGGATCAAAGCCCTGCTTGGGGGAGATTATACCTGAATTGGGAAGGGGAACGGTCAGAGGCAGGGCGGGCTTCGATTTGTGGGTGGAGTGTAGAGGAGGGAGACTCGGAGCACCCGGCCCAGGGCTGTAGGGGTAGCGTGGGGCTGCCTGTGGCTGCAGATGGTACCATTCTAGATGAAGCGGCAGGGCTGAGGGCCTCCGAGGGTCGGCTGGGGGAGCTGCCCAGCAACCTGCTCACCCTAGCAGGCTGGGACCCCCACACAGGCCACGCATCCTGCCAACAAGCCAAAAAGTATTTGCTGAATGCTACCATGTGCCAGGGAAGAGACAAGTCCCCACCCTTGGTCATCAGAGAGTCCAGCACAGCAACAGGAACTGCCGCTGGGCAGCAGTCATGAAGTGGCCCAGGGAGAGGGCACGCCTGTGGTGCCAGGCCCGGTTTCCACACCCCATTTCCTGCACTCGTGGCATTAGCTCCTTTCTAACCCTCATGACATCCCTCTGAGGTATGTGCTATTGTCTTCATCCCCATTTTATGGATAAGGAAAGTGAGACATGGAGAGGTGAAGTTACTCGTCCAAGGGCACACAGTTTAATCCCCAGGACAAAAACCTGAATCCAAACCTGACCAGCTGGCTCCAAGGTGCTCTTCTCAGGCCTGCTCCACTGACCTCCTCCCCTGGAGGCAGGGAAGTTGTCTCCACATTTCGCAGATGAGGGAAGCAAAGCTTGGAGTGGGAGTGGTGTAAGTGCCTCCTGCAACCTGTGGAGTTACGCATGCTCTAGCGTTCGTGACCTAGAGGTCAGGGTGCAAGGTTTCTTTAGGAGTGGTGAGTTTCCTTTGGACAAAAGTGCCTGAGCCAGCTAAGTCAAGGTTGCCGGAAACACACCACACATTTTTGCGCATGGATGTGTGTAAATGTATGAATGCTCGTGTGCACTGTATCTTACAGGCCTCAGCCAGCTCCCAAAAGCCTCACGGGGCTGTCCCCGCCCTGCCCCAGGCATGCTATTCTCGGGACAGACACAAGCCCATCTGTCCCAAGACCCCTGTGCCCAGCTCCTGCAGCCTGGCCTAATGCTCCCCACCCACCCCCACACCCCAGCCTCTGCTAGTGCCATCTGGCGGATGGCAAGATGCCCACCCCTGGGGAGTGGGTGCCAGGGGCCAAGAGGGGAGCAGCTGGGAGGCTGAGCTGACCCCATGAGCAGCAGCACAGCCCTAGGCTCTGTCTGGGGAGCTGCAGCAGGGTGACTGCACCTCCTAACCCACGAGAGACACACTGCGAGGGTCTTTCGCTGGCCTTAAGACACAAGGAAGCAGCTCGAACTGTTTACCATTGGGAATTCTCATCTCTGGGGACTCACCCCTGCCCCATAACTCACTCCAGTGAAGGAACACGGGGTGCAAAGTCTACCCGAGCACCCCCACCCGGAGCACTTAGCTCCCGCCACTGCCACTGTCTGTTTAGCACAACGGTTCACGCTTTTGCAGCTCTTACTTTATGGCAGGCTCTGTTCTCATCCCTTTCTGTTGAATGATCCCTTTAATCTTCACCCAACTCTATGAGATAGATGTAATCACTATCCCATTTCACAGATGGCAAAACGGAGCTACAAAGTGCTTAAGTAACATGCCCAAGGCACACAGCTGCTAAGTGGCAGAGCTGGGATTAGAACCCAAGCAGTACAAGTCCTTCACATTGATTTTGCGCCTCCTGTGGACCAAGCATTGTTCTGAGTGTTTTACATGAAGTAGCTCATTTAATCCTCACAACAGTGTTGCTATCGTTCCCGTTTTACAGATGAGGAAACTGGGGCACAGAGAGGTTGCATGACTTGCCTAAGGTGACATCAGTAAGAGGAGGAAATAAGTGGTGCGATTTGAACTCAGGCTGTCTGGCTGTTCACAGGATCCCAAGGTTCATGGGTGAAAGGTTCACTAAAAAAATGCTGTAAGAATAGATGGAGATGGGCTCATTCGACCTCCGCTCTTATCTCTCCTCTCCGCATCATCCCATTCTCGGTAGCCACAGCCGGGGAGACAAGGTGGAGGGAGGAGAGAGCATCTGTGAGCTGGGCCGGTGGGAGGGCAGGCGGGAAGGCAGGCAGTCGCGGGTAGAGGCTGCACGTGCTCACGACGTCTCTTCTGTGGCCAATTAAACAAATTGCAGCAAAACAGCATTTTATTAGTATTTGCCCATAGCAGTCTGGAGCTGCAATAAATTTCCTCCAGGCTGCGGCACTGGAGAGGCAGGCGGAGGGGTGTGTGTGAATGGGGGAAGAGATCGGTGCCATTGGAGGGGCGTGGGGAGCAGGGTGTGGGAGGGAGAGTTGGCATGTTAAGCAGTGGATGGTGGAAGAGAAACATCAGGAACGGCCCTGGGGGCTGTTGGGTATCAGAGTGGCTGTCTTCCCAAACAACCGCTCTGCTTCATCATAAGCACAGTGAGTTATGAGGCGGTGTTGTGCGCTGCACACGAGCCGCGGGGACCATGAAGCCGCCTGTCTGGGTTAGGCGGGGGGTGGGCAGGGAAGCCCAGTGCCTGGCTGAGGGTCCCCCCGAAACTCCATGGCAGCTGCCCTGGGTTCAGCCCTCATG